AAAATGTAATTTTTGTTGTTGTTGCCGTGACTTAGCTTCGTCTGCACTCTTTATTTTGTTCCCGCCGCTTGGCTAAGAGTGTGCTCTGTGACGCAGGATTCTGCAGCGCCATTTTGACTTGGCCGCCAACAGGTGTAACTGTAGAAAAATAACTCATGATTCCCGAAAACAATTCAGCTGTGGCCCAGCCGTGGACAGCCACTGACGAGGAGCCCGGGCTGAGGTTCCAAACATCTCACGGTGCTTTACACTTGCTGTCAAGTGAAGGGACATCTTGTGTTCACACGCTCCAGCAGCTTTGCACACGACAAGGTCCTAGACGTAGCTGTGAGGGGAGGCAGCCAATTTGCACACAGCAATGAACCCACAAACTGAATCATCGACTTATCTGGAACGATTGTTGAGCAGGACACCAGGAGAAATTCCCATTCTGTTTCTCATTTACATAAGCAGATACAGGACAGGACCTCGGTTTAACATCTAATCCAAAGGACGGCGCTTGCAACAATGCAGCGCTCCCCCAGTACTGCAATGGAGCGTTAGCCTAGACTCAAAGTCAAGACATGGAGCACAAACCAACAACCTTTTGACCCAAAAGCGACCAACTGAGCCAGGCACCATCTTGGAATTACAAGGTCTAGCAATTGTAATAGCTCTGCCCACCCTAGCATGGTAAAGATTGTGAGAGTCAATTCAGCTTGAATCATCAAAGCGGTGCGTGATAAATGTTACAGAATGCTAAGCTCCCTACCAACCCGTCCGTTCCCTCCGCTCAGCCGACTGGCCTGCTCCACGTCCCCTGACCCACCCGCCCCACCATTGGCGGGAGAGCCTTCAGCCACTCCGCCCCCCCAACCTCTGGAATTCCATTCCCCCAGTCACTCAGCCTCGCCCCCTCCTTAGCATCCTTCAATTCCCGCCTCAAGACCCTCTTCGACCATGCCATCAGCCACTCTCCTTGCTCTCACCTCCCTTCTCCCCCCCTGACCCCAGCTCGGGTCTGAAATGCTGTACTCTGTCCAGCGCCTTGGGACGTCCTCCCGACGTGAAAGGCGCTATACAAATGCAATCTTGTTGTTGAATACAGAGAGCTTAAGGGCACTTGCAAGTAAAGAGATTTAGTTTGATCCTAACGTAAGCCTGTTGGGGGGAGGGGGAGATGCTGAGTTCTCTATCAGAGTAAATAGTCCCACTGTTACTGGAAACCTGCGTTCGACTTTTCACCTCACGTCATGTTGAATGTCTGACAGCAATCCCAACCGATCGATAAATAGACTGAGACTGTCAGCAAGGCCACTCACTGATTAGAAATATCAGGAGCTATCAACAACAACAAATTTTGTTTTTAGCGCCTTTCACATCCGGAGGACATCCCGAGGAGCTGGAATCGCTCAGTTCCCAGATTAATTGTAGATGAAAATAGCTTCCTTCAAATGTTATTTTCACTGCCACCATACTTACACAGCACCTTTCACTTCGGAAATGTCTCAAAACGCTTCACAGCGAAGGAATGGGAATTGGTCTGAGCATGGTGGGAGATGAGACCGACGGAGGGAAGGGATGTGGGTGCCACGAGAGAGACGGCCAAAGGCATTGGTTTCATGAAGAGTTTTGAAAGTAGAGAGAGGGAGGGTTCGATCCCATCACATGTCAGTAATCTTAAAGCCAGGAAGACAGGTACGTAAAGGTGTGGCAAAAGGAATGAAATCTAATAGATTGGTGGAACAAGTGGAACAATTCGAAAAGAGAAGGGAGGTTCTTCTGGTGTCCTGTCCAAAAATCCCCCAAATAAAATCGGTGACTTGTGCGACATTGCTGTGCGCAATTGGTTGCCACGTTGGCCCACAAAATACACAGTCACTCCGCTTTATAGTAAACCCTGTGAAGCGCTTTGAGATGTCTCAAGGATGTGATAAGGCACTACATCAAATGCAAGGATTATTATTATTATTATTTTTATAACAATCTGGGAAGGGTTTAATGGCTCCTTCTGTTCCTGTTCTCTTACAACACCCAATTGCCCAGATAGTTATCACTGTTGAAATACAATTATCCAGTTTGATACAGAATAAGAACTGCCTCCCCCCACCCCCCCGATTCAGAACTAGCTGTGTTTTAATTTGCAATCTGCCCACAATCTGTCCACACATTGCTCATCCACTGTTACTGTAGCGGGGAGCTAAGCTCCTGCACGGATACTGTACCAGTGAGCTAGTTATTTCTCAGCAGCAGGAGTGAGGACTAATCCTCATGCTGAAGGCAATCTACAGTTACACTTTCTTGCCAAACTTTTGTCTTCTCCCTTTCTTTTTGTTAGTTATTTGCGTCTGCCATATGCCGGGTTGCTTTGATGTAACTTTAGGTAACTGTGAACGGAGCCTTGGGGGTTTGGCCTATTGATCCGGTGCCTCTTCTGTGTTTGTTTGAAGTCGTTTTTTGTTCACTGATGCCCTCCTCAACAAGTCACTTTTAATTCCCCTTTTTTTTGTGAGGTTTGAGGATTACCCAGACGGTCCCTTGTATAACCACTAAACCATGGGAAGCAAGGAATCCTGCCAGCTTATCCATCATCACATCCCTCGGGCTCATGTGGCGAACGCTTGGGGACCCCCAGTGTGTGTTGGCGTAGCCGCTGGAGATTAACTGCTTGAAATCGACATAGCTAGCTGTTGAGAGCAAACCTGCCCACATTGTGTATCAGTTGAGATTTAGAATTTCTACAAACACAGCACTCAAACAGGCATGGATTAAGAAAGAACCTTCAACTCATCTCATCCTCCCACAGGGAGTCTCCACCGTGCCTTCCTCCCACTACAATATCAAACTTGGCATCTCTCCGTCTTTCTCCTAACTCGTTCCAGCTGTTGATTAACCTGTGGATCCCATAGAGTAGTGGTTAGCACGCTCGCCTCACAAGTGAGAGGTCCTGGGTTAGATCTCTGGGTGGGGCGAAACCTCAGGCAAGTTTCCTTACACCACACGCCTCTGTTTTCCTAGCAGTCGATTGGCAGATTACTTTCCGGGGTAATAATATCTCCCACCAAAAAAACAATATCTAGCCACTCAATTCTCAACTGTTTGTGGTGGGACATTGCTGTGCGCAATTGCTTTTGCCCACAAAATACACAGTTAATCCACTTCACAATATATGCTTAATGGCATCTCAAAGTGCTACATCAAACACGAATGATCATTATCATTATTATAAAATACGTGCGAAGAAGTAGGCCCACAAAACACTCTCACTGCAATTTGCAATATATCCTGTGAAATGCTTCGAAACTTCTTCCCGATGTAAAAGGCACTAACCTTTGTATTTTTTCATACAAATGTATCCCACTGTAAAGATTATTAATATTATTATTATTATTATAAGTCCTGCAGTACATCTGGAAGTGAAGCATCTTGGCAGCACAAGCATAGCATAAAGAGGATTGCGGTGGCGAGGTTGTCTCTTTAAGAGTGTTCCTTGCACATGCTTGCAAGGAAAATGCACCTTGTTTACACAGACAGTTGATGTGTGGTGCCACAAGTGATATGCAGCCAGCACGCTGAATCCAAAGAAATTTTATTTATTTCAACAGGACATTTGGCTTTGCAATTTTTCATACAAATCTCATATCACTGATATTGCAGCTTGTCTCCTGTCCGGGTGATGTTTGTAAAACCTCCTGAAAGGGAAACAGAGACATGCAAATGGAGACAGCACGCATGCACAATGCAGAGCTTGTCGCAAAGCAATATTGTAAATCTGATTAAAAGGTTGGAATGAGGATCCAGATTCCTGCAGAAGGGCCCACACTGGTGGGTAAAGGTTACGCTGCATTAATCATATCAGCATGCTGCGGCATCACTCACAGTGTGGAGAGATACTTTCGGTGGTACCACACAAGTTATTAATGGTGAGATGTCCCAGCCACGAATGGTAACAGGGATGGCTGGAGGGTGCAGGAAGCCATGAAAAATTGCACAGCTGTTCTTAACATACCACCAACTTAACCTGCTGTATGTATGCTCTGCGTTACTCATTCAATACTCTTTGAATTGTTACGAGGTATTAAGTAATAATGAAACGCCACGTATTGAAGGTCGCAAGGGGCTTAGCAGGTAATTGCTGTCAAGTGTAGTGACTGGGTAAATTTGTAGGCAAATGCAGAAGCCGTTTTGCATGCAGTAATGTCCCACAAACAGCCATTAAGTTAATGATCCATTTTGCTTGAGGGATTGTTGTCCAGGAGAAACTATTCTTTTTGAGATGTCTTTCACATCCACAGTGCTCTAAGGACAGGTGGTGCGTACAAAAGATCCAGAGCTGTACAATGAGTATGACCTGCGGAGTCCTGTAGCATATTGCGGAGTCCTGTAGCATATTGTGGAGTCCTGTAGCATACTGGTTAGAACACCCACCTCGCAAGCGAGTGGACCCGGGTTCGATTCCCAGGCAGGGCGAAATATTTGGTAACTTTCCTTACTCCACACACCGCTAGCTGTAAGTAGGAACCTGGTTGTTTGTCGATTGGCGGATCACTTTCTGGGAGTAAAAATCCTTTAAAAAAAAAATAATAATTTGTGGCTGTTTGAGCGACACTGCGGTGCGCAATTAGCGACTGTGTTCAATTTCATTTAATTCCTTCTAGGCCCATCTCAAGACCCTCCTCTTCAACGGCACCTTCGGTCACCCTCCTACCCTAATCTCCCTTCCCTCCAACCCTCTTGATCTCAGCTCTGGTCCAAATTCCTGACTGTCCAATGCCCTAGAACATCCTCCCGGCGTGAAAGGCGCTGTACCAATATAATTTGTTGTGTTTGTGTTTCGCCCACAAAATATACAGTCAATGCACTTTATTGTATATTCTGTGAAGCACTTTGAGATGTCTCAACGACACATATCAAATATCAAGGATTATTATTATTATTATTAATACGGTTGAGATTAATAACCTCGGGGCTGCTCACTGGAGGTTGACGATGCTCAACCTTGTTGTGTTTTGTCCCAGCAGGAAGTGACACCACCAAGCTTTCGCTCATGAACAAGTACAAGGAGAACTTCCTGGCCACCAGTCCCGTGGACATCAGCCACCAGCAGACAGCCCTGCTCCCTCACAGCGCGACTGGTGGTCAACGAAAACGCTTCACCAGTAAATCCAGAGGTGAGTAACTCCACCGATCATGCTTCAATATAAATTTACACGTCGGGAAGGTGTCACCTGAGCTGCTGGGGCGATGGGAAGGGGGTGTAGGGTGGCTGAACATGGAGTCAAAGAAGGAGAGGAAGGAGGTGAGAAAAGGGATAAGTTCAAAGGGATTCCGGGATGGAATTCCAAAGAGTGAGGGCCGACATGCTCAAAACCGGGCTGCCGATTTAGCGGCACCTCTTTGAGTTCTCCAACCAATGTTCCAAATATTTTCTAGAGCTGGTTTAACAGGTGGCGTGGTGTCAAGTCCTGTGTGAAACGTCACTGACTTGCACGAATGCGCAAAGTGCGCGTGACTCAGGCTAGTGGATTTTGTCGGTTAGTCCGGGTGGATGACACGCGGAACCCATCGCCATATTCAAGAGTATCCAGACAAGACCGAGAGTTCCACACTGGAACTCGTAGGAATTTACTGTAAATAGTGTCCGGTCTGTCATCAACTGTGTCCTGGAATACTGCGGACACTCCAGGCTCAGGAAGCCGACCACCGAGACCCCGCTCCCCACTTCCACACCCTTTCAGAAGGTTAATTGCTGTGTGAAGGTAATCAAACAATACAACATGACTCAACAGTTTGGTTGACTGTTGGATATCCAAGGAGATGTTGGGACAACCTCTTTGTTCCTGTGCTCCCAACAGAGCATCTGAGCTCACGCTCACACCAAATGTGACTCGCAATGTCCGTGCAGCCACTCAGAGCATCAATGAAGCATTTGATCTTCACCACACAGGCAGGAAATCTCAGAGACATCAAACACAATCGGTGGCTTTTAAGAACAGGACAGAGTTTCAGATGAAATAGTCACTGCTAGCAGTGGTTGCTGTGTAGGAGATTGCTCCTGTGCACAGCGCATCATGACAACGCCGCTGTTTGATTCGGCACCAGTTTGAAACAACAACAGCAAGATTACATTGAAAAACAATGACAAAATGAGAAACTCACCGAAACAGAGCATCTCACCCAGGGACAGGCCCCCTTGAGCGCAGTATTGGCTATAATTATTATAATAATCATCCTTGCATTTTTGACATAGTACCTTATCACGTCGTCAAGACGTCTCAAAGCGCTTCACAGAATATACTGTAAAGTGGACATTCACCTCTAATAAGGGGGTAATAATTCCTTCAAAAAAAATAATAGAAAACTGTTTTTAAAAAATTGGTCACTTCAATCCATGACCGTTTGTGGGACACTGCTGTGTGCAATTGGCTGTCGCATTTTGTCCACAAAGTATACAGTCAGTTCACTTTACACTATATTCTTTGAAGCACTTTGAGACATCTCGAAGACGTGATAAGGCGCTATATCAAATGCAAGGATTATTATTACAAGGTCCCTTCTGAGACATGTTTTCTGAAGATTGCCCTATCTCGACTAATCTAGCTCATTCCTCCGAGAGAAGGTGACAAGCTTCATTAAAGCTATCAGTCTGTCCTTCCTGCGTTCGGAAAGGCAAGTTTCCATCAGGATGCAAAGTGCTGCTCAATAATGGAAATAGGCTAGGAGCACAGCTCCATCGCTCAGTTGGCAGTGGTTCACAGACTGCGAATGCCTGGGAGGAACTGGCAATCTTTATGGAGTCTTTCATTAGCAACATGACAAACAATCATTACGCAGAGATTTAGAACGCGCTCTCAGTAAAAGCATCAACTGAACAAAACCCTTGAACGTTGACACTTTCAAAGAAGCAATTAATACAGGGTGACTTAAATAGGCACCATTGAAATAAATTGAGTTTAAAAAATGAATCGAACACCTCCGCAGAAATCATACTTCTGCTTTAGTGAATGTTTCTTTCAAGCTAAACAGATTTAAGACCTTTCTCTTTCTCTATGCGAACAAAAAAATTAATGGAAGTGGAGAGCAAAGCATTTCTCTAAATAATAATGCTTGCATTTGTTGTAGCGCCTTATCACGTTGTTGAGATGTCTGAAAGCACTTCACAGAATATTCTGTAAAGTGAGTTGACTGCATATTTTGTGGGCAAAACACTGGGAATTGAAAAGAGTGTCTCTGCATAGAGAGCCTGGACATTGCTCTGTGCAGCATTAGGATATTGGAAACAGACAGTCTTTCCCTGTACTGGAAGCTAGGAAGGAGCACTGGTCCCTGTGCTCTGAGATACTGGGTAGATTGGCCAGTGTTTAACAGGAATATTAATCTGTGTCGTTAGCACACTGGAGGTGCACAGTGCTTTTTGTCACAGCAAGGACGTCAGAATGCATTCTGTTTCTCAGCACAGAGATTAGATCCGAAATTCTGCCTGGTCTCAGGATTTACGGTCGTGCAGAATTGTGGAAAATTCATGAATCCGCTCTTCAATTGGAAGCTGGCTTTTTTTTTATTGACTGCGTAAAAATTTACAATTTTTCGACAGTTATGAGCAACGTTAAATCTTTAAGCAGAAATGATCTTATTGGCTAGCACTGGGTGGGTGGAATTTCATGCCTTTTGTGCATTCAACAGTAACTTGTATTTATACAGTGGCCTTCATACAGGATAGCTTCTTGGAGGTCAGTCATCATAGCTGGGCCATTATTGTGCTCACAATCTACTGTCATGGTCACCCTGCCAGCTCCCACAGCTGGACGTTTACTATTCAATCCTTCTCACACACAGGCCTCATTTGGCTTCCACACAGTGTTCTCGTATAGACAAAACCATCTCATCATCTTCAGCAGAGCAGCACACACAGAACCTGCACATTAGCAATGATAATCCTTGCAATTGATACAGCGCCTCTCTCAAAGTGCTTCACAGGATTCACTGTGGGGCCATTTAGTCTTTACATTCAAGATTTTAAGTTGTGAGGCTGGCTCACTTGGTAGCACTCTTGTCTCTGAGTCAGAGGTTCCTGTTTCAAGCCCCACGTTAGAACTTTGAGCTCATAATCTAAGATGACATGACAATGCAACACAATACAAAAAGACATTTGCATAGCGCTTTCACGTCGGGAGGACGTTCCAAGGTGCTGCACAGTCAGGGATTTGGACCCGACTGGGAGGGGTTGGGATCGGGGAGGGTGGAGGGCTGGGATGGTAGGAGTGTGGCCGAAGGCTCGGTCGAAGACAGGATTTTGAGACGTGTCTTGAAGGAGGCAAGGGAGGGAACGAGGTGAAGGGAATGTGGAATGGAGTTCCATAGGGTGGGGGCAGAAAGGTTGAAGGCCCCGCCACCGATGGTGGAGTGGTTGATATGGGGTCAGCAGGTCGCAGAGTATGGAGGGGCAAGGCCATGGAGGGTCTTGAAGGCGAGGATGAGGATTTTGAACTCTATCCTCTGGGGGATGGGAGCCAGTAGAGCTGGGCACGGGTGGGGGTAGTGGGGTCATGGAGCCTGGTGCAGGAGAGGACACGAGCTGCAGAGTTCTGGATGGTCTGCGGCATATGGAGGGAAGAGTTGGAAAGGCCAACAAACAGGGAGTTCGCATAGTCGAGCCTAGGTGTGATGAATGCAGTGCTGGGAAAGTGCTACGTTGTAGGAGATGCTGTCCTTTGAATGAGAGACATTAAACTGAGGTCCCATCTATTTGTTCAGATGGATGTTAAAGATCTCATGGCACGATTCAAAAGGAGAAGGGAGTTTCTCCCGATGTCCTAGCCAACAAACCCGCATATAAAATTAATTATTCTCCTCATGGCTGCTTGGTGGACGTTGCTGTGTGAAAATTGATTGCCTCGTACACACAGTCACTACACTTTATAATATAGCCCTCCCACCGTGAAAGCCATGACATCAAATGTAATAATAATAATACAGCTCGCATTCAATATAGCACCTTATCGAGTCGTCAAGACATCTCAAAGCACTTCAAGCACTTCACGGGATTAAGGGCTAGAATAAGATGGCACAGAATTGCGGAGAATGCATAGTTTGGAAGCTGGTTCGTTTAAGAACTATTGGCAGAGGGATGTGTCTCTGTGCTGTTCGGTACTGGAAATTGAACGCTGCTGCTGTGGTGTCGATGGGAGGCACTGGAAATGCACCAAGACATTGGATTGAAAAGGGGGCAGCCCTGGTGCGTGTTATAGTGTTTGGTGCAGATAACAGAAATGAGCTGCTATTCTCTGCACCAAGATAAAGACCCTGGTCGCTGTTGAAATCTGAAGTATTTCATTGGGCATTTAGTTGCCTGGTAAACCAATTTATATTACAATAAAGAGCGTCTTAAATATTGCCGCACTTACACAGGTGCAGTGACAACCCTCTCATTCATCAACCAAAGCGAGCACGAGAGATAGCATTCTAAATTTGGTGCAGAGAGCCAGTCACGAAAGAAATTATAAATCGTAGACGGGCGAAGCACATTAGGAAACAGATTGTGACACGCGATGTTTGTGCTTAAAGAACATTTTCCTTTTCTTCGAAAATGTTTTTTTTTCCTTCCTTCGCACTAACGTCGTAGCACGATTCCATTTCAACCAAAATGTATTAATTTGTAGCGTGTCGCTACGATACATCACTCTTAAGCGTGAGGATCAGTGCGTGATCCAAAAAACACACGTTGGCTTGTATGTAAATGAAACCTCACAACTCAGCAAGATTTACCCAATTGGTAGCAGAGCCACAGAGATTGGGAAACCCACTTTACAATATATCCTGTGAAGCGCTTTGATACGTCTCAACAATGTGATAAGGTGCGCTATCGAGTGCAAGGATTATTATTATTATATTAGGAGGCACTAAAACTGGCCACAGATCTCTGGATCTAATTGCTCGCAAGCAAAGGCGGCAGCTGGCTGCCCAATGGACCTGTCAGTCAAGCCAAGCTCTCACCTGTCTTAAAGGGACTGACATTTTATTTGAGTTTTATTCAGTCCCAAACCCCAAAGAATATTTTCATTGGCTGCCTATGCTTCGCAAGCGATCGCTCTACCAGGGATAGGAATTGATGTCCACTGTGAACAAATAGCCTGGCACTGTCATAGCTCACACAACAGCGCATCAGTAATCC